AAATTTAACTGTACTCTTAGCTTAGGCACCTACCCAGATTCTTTTATTAGACCATTCAAGAATATGTGTATTTCTTACTGAAGAAGTCCTGTGCATCTAATCTGCTTGTTATGATCCCATTACATTTCGGCCATTTTACTTGGAGCTCAATAATGTCACTGGATCCAAGTGACCTCTATAATATGACAGCATCTTGAGTTGTTAAAGGAATTACCATTATTTGCGTATACTCAGATGTATGTTAAAGTTAATCCTTCAATTCTCAAAAAAATTTGGCACATGTTCTTTAGCTTTTGACACTAATCAAACATATCTAGGATTATCCAACAATGACCTAGAGATAAGATTCAGCATGTTTTTTCATTAATTCTGTTTGCTAAATACTTCTGGTTCTCTGCTTTCTGGGCACATAATGAGATTTCATGTCTCTGCATCTCTGAAGTTAGGCGTGGCCATGTGACCTTTCTTTGGCCAGTAAAATGTTAGCAAAAATGTCAATTCCAGGCAGTAGCTAAAGCAGCCAGTGCTAGACTAAATATTCTTTCTTCCTGCAGCCAGATGAGTATGAAAAGAAGGGCTAAGAATCCCTGTCAGATGATGTGGCACATATATACAATGGAATATTACTCAGCCATAAAAAGACACGAAATTGAGTTATTTGTAGTGAGGTGGATGGACCTAGAGACTTTCATACAGAGTGAAGTAAGTCGGAAAGAGAAAAACAAATACCATATGCTCACACATATATGGAAATTAAAAAAAAAAAAAAAAAAGGTTCTGAAGAACCTAGGGGCAGGACAGGCATAAAAACACAGACGTAAAGAATGGACCTGAGGATGTGGGGAGGGGGAAGGGTAAGCTGGGACAAAGTGAGAGAGTGGCATGGACATATATACACCACCAAATGTAAAATAGATAGCTAGTGGGAAGCAGCTGCAGAGCACAGGGAGACCAGCTCAGTGCTTTGTGACCACCTAGAGGGGTGGGATAGGGATGGTGGGAGGGAGATGCAAGAGGGAGGAGATATGGGGATATATGTATATGTATAGCTGATTCACTTTGTCATAAAGCAGAAACTAACACACCATTGTAAAGCAATTATACTCCAATAAAGATGTTAAAATATTATTAAATAAAATGACACTAAAATTTGAAAAAAAAAAACAAAACGAAGAATCCCTTTTCAACCTGGGTAACATGTGAAAGGAGGCCCTGCTGACATGTTGGACATATAGCATTAATAAGAAATAGCCTTTCATTGAATTAAACTACTGAGATTTTAAGGATTTTTAATACTACAGCATTATGTAGCCTATTCTGACTAACACAGCTACTAAAGAGAGCCTGAATGAATTAGTCACATATATATACTTAGGAGGCTTTATAATCTAATTAGTACCTAGGGACTATTAGCATGAGACAAAGTTTAAAGTTGCCACCTATTTAATTTCATATAGAAAAACAGGCATTCTCTCCTTATTTTTTCTGAAAGAAATTATGTAAACTTACTCTCCAAAATATTATTATCCTTCCTTCTAAAATAATAACATTATTATCCTTCCTTCTAAAATCAAGGTCAGCCTTTTCATTTCATGACATCCATTAAAAACTGAAACTCTCTTTGGACAAAATTAAAAACATCACTTGATTTACACATCACACAAATCACATCATTTATTAATTATCTGTAAATTGATTCATCTGTAGATTAGGTATATGTTCATTTGAAGACTATTATAATTTATTATATTTTATTAATATATAAGCATTCTATCCTTACCTATATTCAAATAGCATGATATCCCAAGTGGCCATAATGATTACCAATAAAATGCCAACACATTTCATTTGTTCACATATTCTGTGGTAAACGACTGACAACTTCATGATTAAACCATCCAATGTTCAAATTTCTTATAACAACACATGTCATTTTTGACGAAAAACAGTTTTATGAAATCCCCTCCAAAGCAAATTTATGTTAAATCTGTACTCATGACTTGTTAATGGTTTTCTAAATTTCAACTTAGGAAGCTATCATCTTCTGAAAATTAAAATCTTATCTGTCTAGAAGGAATAGAGGGACATAAGTACAAGGAACATATTCAAATTAATGTCTGTGTTTGTAACTATAACATTTTTTCTGGTACATTTTTCTAATTCGTTTTAAAATTTTCATTTATATTTGAAGCTACATAAATTCATGAAGGGAATTTCCTCTACAATGTCTGCCCCATTATACCTAATAATGTCCTATTACAACTGCAGGTAGAAAATTCAAGGAACATAAAACCTGAAAATCCCCAATTACAGCAAGATGGAAAATAAATAATTCAAATGCCTATAAGAGAACTTCTTAGATCCCTGGATGAATTGCAGTGCATTATTTTAATTGTAAGGGCAGGATTCACAAACAAAACAAACTTTCTTGAGAATTTCTTGCTGAAATACATTTTATAATAGTAAGTATCCCGTAAATCTGATTACAAACACCTAAGTACAGAACTATTACAGAATACTGGCTTCTTATCCTTAAATATTTACAGAGATCCTATTTTCTCTTATTGATCTAAATGCAGTTTAAGTGTGTCTACTCCTAAACCAAGGGAGAAATTAACCATTTTAATTAAACATTAAATAATTGTATAAGTGTCAGGAAAACACAAGCATTAAAAAAAAGTCTCTAGCATTCTGCCTAATTAGGTACATTTCAAATACTGTGTTTTTACTAAACAAAACAAAAAAAAGTTTAGTGAATCACAATCTGTGGAATCACAATTTAAATTGTGAGGTTCTTGCATTCTTTTCATTATTACCAAAATTGATAATCTAGTGCCCCCAATTTTTCTTATTATATCCTAATTCCCTTTAGAGTTTCTACCTACTTGCTGCTTTAAAACTATACATTTCAAACTTTCCCCCATTTATACTACTGATCTTTTACTGCTTTTTAATTCTTCTTAGAGATCTTCAGTGCAGAGATAGCCCTCATTTATATTCTTGACTTTAAAAGTGCATGAAAGTATGCTTGACCTTGTGATCTGGGTCTGCAGCTTATAAACATTTATTCATTGTTTTATTTGTTTTCATTTGTGTTACTGTTCGTCTTGTTGCTTCTAGAAACTTCTACTGTTAGTTGGTGTAGAGATAAAGTCAAAATATCTGAAAACTGTTGTGCTAGTAAACATTTTATTTTTATCTTTGTTGCTTGATATGTCAGAGGAAGGATCACATTTTCAAATGTGTTGAAAATACGTGAAGTCAAGCTCCAATGAAACAATTCTACATCTAAGCAAAGATGAGAAGATGCAAGATTTATGGGTACCTAAACATCCCTTAAATCACAACTGTGGCCCATTAGACTATAAAGGAAAAAGAATTTCTAACTCAATGTCAAGTGAACTCTTAGTCCACAACAGGCTGTCATTAATCTCATACATCCTTGCATCCTTCCCTATAGCATGTACCATAATGCTAGGTGCTAGTCCACTTCTCTCCATTCTGTGTGCTACTGTCCCCTTCAGACCAGCATCATCTCTCACCTTGATTAATACAGAAGCCTCCAACTGTCTTCTGTGCAATGTAAACATTTCTATGTTCATCTTGCCTGATCATCTATCATTGCAGACACCTCCTCTGGCATTCCTTTAAAAGGTCTCAGCTTTGTTCACATATCTCCAGGAAAAGGGATCTCAGTACTACACATTTGGCTGCATTTCTTTTTCACTCAACTAAACTTGTTTCAAAAATTAATGAAATCTGCCTCCCAGTAATTCTGTGTATTAGTTTTAGTTCTGCTCAGTGGAGTTACACAGGTTAAAGTTATCTTTACCATTTTAAATCTATGAAGACCCTGCTTCCTCCATCTCTTCTGTATTTTAGTTCTCCGAGATACTGCTGATATGGCCTGATTTTCAGACCCATTCACAATCCTTTCTCTTTTTCTAAGCACACTTCACTTGCCAACATCTCTATTAACAAATGACAACTAAAGAGATACCTTTGGAATGACAGTGTGAGAAGCTCTCAGTGAAACAATCATAACTAGCGAAAAGTATTAAAACAACACATGCAACTAAAGTGCCTGTAAATTGTCCTAAGGACACATAGACATATTTATTCAAGAAAATCCACTAAATCTCAGTAGAAATTGCGGAAGTCTGTGACATTTAACCCACAATCCACTCCCTCTCCCTCTCTCCAGCTTGGCATTATAAGAAACTCTGCCCCTAAGGATGCAGCAAAGAACATGGTTCCTCCATCTCTAGCTCCCAGTCTACGGTTATGGTTCCTCCCTGGGAAGGTGAGGCCACAAACATTTATGACATAGACCCAGCTTTGTGTTGCAGAAATTCTACTCTAAACAAGAGCAGCTGAGAAGCCTGTGGCTCTCTCTCTTTACCTAGCTCCCTCTTGTAGGGCAGAAGGACTACACCAACTATGACAAACCAAGACTACTGGAGCCCTTATTGTCTTTGCCCAGGATCCTGCTTGTAAAGGTAAGGTGGTATTCTAAGAGAAGAGGGTAACTGTCCTTCTGTTACTTCCTTGAAATTTCATGGCTATTACTATTATCCTGGAATATGATTCATCTGAATCTGTTGATGCAAATTCATTTAACAGTTAAAATTAAAAATCACTCTCTTGTGCTTTAAATTGCTCCTGAATATTTCTTTCTACTTTTCTAGTTTACACATTATATTTTACCCTAACCAAGTAACATTTTACTCTGCCTCTCCCATATTTTTCATGTATACTTAATCAACCTAAGTGATATTTCTCATCTGCGCCTCTCTCCTCTCCATTCTCAATGTAGGCATCATTGCTCAGATGCTCATTGTCTCTTACCAGGACAATTAAAATAAACTCCTAACTTCAGTTTACGGTCTAATAGATTGTAGATATCTTTGCCAAATTAATCTTGCAGAGTTCATAAGAAATCACTTTCCTACTAAGAAATCTTCAAAGATTCTTCACTGCCCACAGAACAAAATTCTTACCTTCACTTTCTTCCTCCTCATCCCGTAGCCTAAACTTTCTTCTCCAATCTAATTTCCCACCGCTTCCTGAATTATATCCTAGGAATTAACAAAGAACCACTTCAGGAAATGATGACTGACAAAACACACTTAAATGAGTTATAAAAGACTTTTTTAAAAAAGCCCAGCATGACATGGTTAAATGCTTAATCAATTAAAAGAAGTCACATAATTAGATTGTTATTATTTATCCAATTTACAGAAATTCCTGTTTAAACAAGTGCTAAGGAGAAAAATCCTTTTGTTTGTTTTTGCATAATTCAACCCTTGTTACTAAAACCATTTATTTAATGCTGAGGACACTTAACAACATATTCCTAAAAAGCTTTCCTACATAGCAATGTTCTGTAAATCCTTTTTGTCACAGTGCATTTTGTTACAAATTGGAATGGGAGGGGGGACAAGAAAGGTTAATTGCAAAATGACTTAAATATTTTTAAACCTGAAGAAATTTTAAGACTCAAATGTTTAAGGGGAGAAAATTATAGTTTTCAGGTATAATAAAAATACTTTGAGTCATAAAAGATCACTACAAATGAACAGGGTTTTTTTAATACTGAGGACAGTATCTTAAACGTGTGAAAAAGAAAAAAAATCATAGTTTAGCTCAACCAACCTGTGTTTAATATCCATCACCCCATTATTTCAGTAAATAGATAAAAAATTAAGTCATAACTGTTAGGCAGGAAGTTAGCCATGAGTAACGAGAGGGGGGCCTGTAGGCTGAATGTCCAACAGCCGCCTAAACCTGCCAAGCTATTTGCCAACCCCGTCCCAAACACGCCCCCGTCAGTACTCCAAAATGGTCAGGGGACCGGAAGAATCCCCCACTTGCCGACTGGACGGACTTTCCCCACCCTGGCATATGCACACACCTCAAGCTACCATGTCCATAGATAACCTTTGGCGGCCATTAGGCTCATTAAAAGTTCATAAATATTCTATGTAAAATATACATCTGATTATAACAGACTGAATTATGGGTAGGACATGTGCAGCAGAGCCTCTTGTTATATAACCTACAGCTGTCAATCAAGACTGTCAATCAACGATCTTGCCTTAAAAACCCTACACTCCAGCACTCAGAGGACACTGCCTTCCTTGGCCTGGCCCACTTCTCTCTTGACGTGTTCTCTCTGTTCTCTCCTTAGCTTCAATAAACTCTCTTGCAACGGGTAAGACCTCAGATTCTTCTTTGCGTCCTTACCAAGAACCGAGGCCCACAGGAGGAGGGTTTTCCAGACTCTTCCACCAACAATAACCATACTGCTGCTGTAAATAAACAGAAGTTATAATAAGCTAATTTAATTTACAAAATAAAAGTAAAATATATTAAAAAAAAACAACAACAGATCTTTGAGCTCATTCAATTTGATTTGGTGTAATTTCAGAGCCTTAATTTCTTCTGCTGTAACATGAAAGGTGTGGTCATGAAAACTTCAGCCATCCCTCAATCTGTCTATTACTCAAAGTAGTTGCATGATCAAATAAAATAATTAATATAACAATAATAGTATTATGAATAGCTAATATATATTGACTCCTAAAAATATGCCAAGGCCTATACTAAATGCTATGTGTGCTGCATCTAATTTAATCCTCCCAACAAATTTATGAGGTGCTTTTATTTCCATTCATGATGTGAAGGGAGGAAAAAGCACAGGAATTTAAATAACTTTTCTTTAAAGGCCCTATCTCCAAACACAGTCACATTCTAAGGTACTGAGAGTGAGAGCTTCAAGTTCTGAATTTTGAGAGGGAGACAGAATTCAGCCCATTAATTTACCTTTTAGAGTTACAAGATTAAGAAATGTAATTGCTTGCCTGTAATTAAGAAACCTCTATTCTAATATCTCTGTTACACATCAGTAAAGCCAGTAATTCAGATAGTTATTACCTTTTCCTACATGTATAAATTGGTAGAAATATACATATATCCCAAAGTGCTGATGTGACAAAAAAGGGTTAACACGTGAAAAAGTTCTGATTCTTAGAAAAACCAGTACTATTTAAATTCAACAACTTAAAGTTACCTTTGTTAAAGGACATCTAAGGAAAGAAATAGAAAATAAACATCCTTACTGATGGTAAGTGCTTAATTCTACATACAATTCAAATCGCAGTATATGCAGCTCAATGGGACTTTAGAAACTGTTGCAAACACACTTACTTCACAGATGAGGAAGATGAGCCTGACACTGGTAAAGTGACTTGTCCAAGGTCACGGATATAGTTAGTTCCTGCTAGAGCAAGTGCTGATTCCTAGTTCACTATTCTTTTCCCTATTCTGTACTGTCTCCTGTGGTTTTCCCAGGATCACGGGCTTAACAGTTTCCTGGAGTGATTATTTGTTTTAGAAATAACACTTACTTCATGTCTGGAGAGATTCACAAGTAGTTGCCTTCTTTTTTCAACCTAAGTTCAATTTAAGCTAAAGCTGAATTTTTAAAAATCTGTGAATTCATCATGTAATTTTTAAGTCCTCATAAGACCTGCTGCAGACAAAAATCTCACCCTTCAAATAATATACATTTTCTTAACTGAAACATATATTAAAATATGTATTAACCTAATAACCAAAATTCATTATATCACAAACAATCTATTACATGCACACATTTTTCTACTACTGTGTGTTTCTCAAGTGTTGCCTGATCCAACAGCAGGTCTCAAATCACCTTCCAAAATGCTTCAAAATCATTTGCATATTTGTTCTTACAGTACTAAGCAAAATGAAAAGCAATTCAATTACAATTATTTAGGGCTACTTATATCTAAGGCAAATACCTTCAAAGAGTCATGCACTGTAATAAATGTCTTCCAAAGTTCTCCCAATAAGGAATTAACCCAGAAGTAATGCCATAATTCTGGAGAATTTATTAATACCATCCAGTCAATTTCCTCCCTTACAGGCTCTCCTCCAACAGAGTCAGGCCTTGAAATGGGAATGCAAGCATGAAACTTTGATCTAAGCTGACTTGGAGGAAGCAGGAGCACCAGGAGGAACAGACATTTTTGTGGTTTTTTTAAATTAATTAATTTATTTTTATACAATTTTAAAAAGTCACACTCCATTTACAGTTATTACAAAATATTAGCTATATTCCCCATGTTGTATAATACATCCTTGTAGCCTATGTTACACCCAATAGTTTGTACCTCCCACTCCCCCACCTCTATACTGTCCTTCCCCTCCTCCCCACTGGTAACCACTAGTTTGTTCTCTTTATCTGTGAGTCTGCTTCTTTTTTTGTTGTATTCACTAGTTTCTTGTATTTTTTAGATTCCACATATAAGTGATATTATACAGTATGTCTTTGTCTGTCTGACTTATTTCAATTAGCATAATGCCCTCCAAGTCCACCCATGTTGCTGCAAATGTCAAAATTCCATTCTTTTTTATGGCTGAGTAGTATTCCATTGTGTATATGTACCACATATTCTTTATCCATTCATCTGTTGATAGACACTTAGGTTGTTTCAATATCTTGACAATGGTAAATAATGCTACTATGAATGCTGGGGTGCATGTATCTTTTCAAATTAGTGATTTTGCTTTTTTTTTGGATGTACACCCAGGAGTGGAACTGCTAGGTCATACGGTAATTCTATTTTTAGTTTTTGAGAAACTTCCATATTGTTTTCCACCATGGCTACACCAATTTACATCCCCACCATTAGTGTAAGAGGGTTCCCTTTTTTCCACATCCTCGCCAACATTTGTTATGTTCTTTTTTGATGATAGCCATTCTGACAGTTGGATGATATCTTACTGTGGTTCTGATTTGTATTTCCCTGATGATTAGCAATGTTGAGCATCTTTTCATGCAACTGTTAGCCATCTGCATTTCCTCTTTGGAAAAATGTATTTTCAGTTCTTCTGCCCATTTTTCATTTCGTTGTTTTTTGTTTTTTTGATGTTGAGTTGTATGAGCTCTTTATGTATGTGGGATATTAATCCCTTATCAGTCATATCATTTGCAAATATTTTCTCCCATTCAGTAGGTTGTTTTCGTTTTGTCAATGGTTTCCTCTGCTGTACAAAAGACTGGATTTAAAGAGAGCAGCATTCAAATAGAGACTCTACCATAGACTCAATATACACAAGGAAACATAACTTCAAGGTAATATTGGGATTCATCAGCATGAATTTGTTTACACTTAACATCAAATGTTTTCTTCCTTTTTCTTTCTGAAGATAGAGTTTCAAAACCATGAGTTTATTATTATGAGTATAAAAAATTCAATGCCAGAAAACTCTAACAAAGTTATCCAATTTGGAATAAATTTTATCTTGAAATTACAAAGGAAATTCAAGGACTTCAATTCATTACAAATGGAAATTCTTCACATTTGTGAGGAAAAGCATGATTTTATTTCTATGTAGAGCCAAAGAATGAATAGTGGCAGAAAGTAACAATCTGATTATTTGCCTTATTTTGGCCTCCAAAACCGTATCTTACTGGGGGGTTGTTAAGGTTAGTTTGGGGAGAGAGGCAAGATGATCTGCTGGAAGAAAGAGGACTCTATCTTTTGATCCAAGTCAATCCCTCTCATTGTTGATCAGCAACAAGTTATCCAGGTCCAAATGAGAAAATACCAAGTACCAGGCTACCTCACCCAGGAAAAAAAGCAATAGTAAAACACACAATTGTAAAGAGAAAATAACAGAGGATTTACCACATGCTGCTTTTTAAAACAAGATTTTACATAAAAATTCAAATTTATATAATTTATTTATTTATATGTGTGTTATATAAATTTATTCAGTAAACTTTATTATATTAATAATCATTTTATGTATTTATAGTTATTTTGTAAATGTTTATGCAGGCTATAAAATTTTATGCATTTATATATCCTATTAATTTCTACATATTAATATGTACTCTTTAAAGTTATGTAGGTGCATATGTATGTAAATGAACAGGATGTCCCACAGCCTTCTGAAGATGTCTCAGCTCTGCTTTGAGACATTTTTTAGTACATAGCCATTACTATGGACATTTGGGATTAAAGGGATCAAAGCTTCACACACATTTTTCGTCATTTAACTTTCCCTTTGAATGCTTTATAGGACCCTTTCTATACTCTAACAGAGTTTCCTACCAAAAGGCCATCAGCTACCTTCAGTCTGAAAGTCCAGCCCATCATCCTTCTCCAGGCTCATTTATGTCTCCTTGCTCCCTCTCTCTTTTTGACTTGAAAGGCTGAGTGAAAGGGAAAGGATCATAATTAGCAGATATGTCTGGTCAGCCAAGTGCATTCTCAGACCCTATGATCAAAAATATTTTTAAAAAAGCAAGATACGAAAGCAAATCTCAACCTGACAGAGCTGGTGGATTCGCTCTGCATGATCCTCTCTTGCCACCCTAACTGGTGCTGTGGAAAGGGCTCCTCTCTTTCTGCTCATTGTTAACTAACTTTTTGAATGTGAATCACAGCTGCCCCTGGATCAACTACTAGATTCACTTCTGTTTACCCACTGAGTTTCTTTCTCCTTCAGGACACTTGCCCTGACAGATTCAAGTGCCTAGATTTCATGAAAAATGCTTTGTACTAAAGGCAAACTTATCCATAATCCTTAAAAGTAAATTTTATGACCACTTCTGAAAATAGGAACTCTTCAGTGGTTAATAATGGCAGTTTTACCTTGACTGAGAAATGCATCAGACAGCTCAGTTGCTTAGGTACTACAATTCTTCAGGGTTTAGTTCTATTCAGGATAGTTGGCTTTGTCCATTACATGAATTTTTTTCCAGCCTAAAGACCAGATTTTAAAAAAAAGATCTTTACCATGGCATCTATCCAATAAATTCTATCTAATTTTAGTTCTAAAAGGCAAAGGCTCTTCGTTTTTTTCAGGTGACTCTTACAAACCCACGCATTTACTTTTCTGATTTGGCATAATAATTTGATACTGAAGTTCTGCCATATTGATTTATTTCACTTAGCTCTCCTTTATTTTCATCCAAACTGCTCTGACCACAAATAGGTGTGGATGGTAGGATACTGACACTCAAACTCACATAGTTGTATGGCCTTCATCCTTTCATACATGATCTGATAGAGTCATAACCAACATTGTATTTTTAAATAAATGGATAAGATTACAGAAGAATGGCTGGAGGATCACTTTACACATCCTAACTCTGGCATCCTTGAGGATGGGGCCTATTCTACTCTGCCTCTGCTTCACAAGGCCCTCAACACAGTTGGTTCTCAGCGAGAGGCTGTGGATCTAGTAGAGTTACTTGTAGCTGTGAATCACT